ACTGGAAATAAAATGTTTGTGTAATATACATGGGCAGTTTGAGGTTGATTTTAAAAGGAAATAGTGGAAACATCCTCCGAGACAATATTATGGGTCATACTTCAGAGCTGATTTGCTCAGCAATGCATCAGACACTATTGTGTGTCGTTTTTATTCCACATGTGAATATACTAAGTGCCTCGACTGCTGTATATTTGGGTTACCCTGTAATGAGGCAACTGTAATCTGGCCTCCTCATGTCACGGCTGCTCTTCTGAAGCTGGGCTCCTGAACCTCCAGATCAACTCACAGAATTCCAGGATGGATAAAGGAATCTGAAAGGTTATCCAGCCCCAGCTACCTCTGCTGCCTTCCAGCTCACTCTAACGCCCCTGTGGGCTGAAGTCCAGCTCCTATTCTTCATGACCTCTTCATTGTTAATCGCCCCTGCTTTTTGGGATTTTACTTCGTGGGCTTGGACATGCTGCTCGGGGAGCTTCTCCTACTCTCTGACCATCTCGTCTCTGCCTTCCTCACTGGTCCTCTACTCCTGCTCGCCACATTTTGGGGCATTCCTGAGTTCAGATCTTTTCTTTTTAATCTCTCTTTGTATATGCTCCCATCAAACAGTTCATTTGACTCCCAATATCAACTAACATTTCCATACTAGAAACTTCTTTATTTTTATCTCTATCTCTATTATGTCCCAAACTCTAGACCTACGCTTTTCTTGAATGCTTTGCATTATCCCATGATTCAAACCCAACTCATTGTCTTCTCTCTAAAATCAGCTTCTGATTTTATGTTTCTTTTTTTTATGATTTTACTCCCCCTAATGGCTCCGAATAGTGTCTTGATAGCCCATCCTTAAAACCAGAGTTACTTCTCATTTTCTCTTGTATGGCTGATCAGTTGTCAATTGTTCTGTCAATTGTCTTATAATAAGTTTCTCCTTCCTCTCCCTTGCTTCCCCTTTCTGACCCTAATTCAGAGCCTTGTTACCAAAAATGTAGATGAAGGCAGTGAACCCCTAATTGAGTGTCTGGCCTTCAATTCCACCCCACCCCCAACTCTATATTGAAAAAAACACCAGATTTAATTTTTTTCAAACACTTCTTTGGTATTGTCACTCAGTTTTTGAGTGACTGTCCTTATCTCCCCACTGGCAGCTCTACCTGGCATTAAGCCTTTGACATTCTCATTTCAACCTAAATTTTCAGCCAGTTTAGTCTATTCACTGTCCCCTCAACACTCCTGTGCATTTGCACCTCTGAGACTTTGCTTCTGGGTCACCTGCAGTGCCCTCTAGAATAGCATCGACTGTCCAAATCCTACCAAAGGCTTAGTTCAAATCCCTCCCCTCTGGGAAGTCTCCCTTCCTCTGGACAACTTCCAGAGGTTTTGCATTTTTATCACTTCTTTTACACCAGTTCTTATAATTTTTCATGTGTGCAAGTTTTAACCTTGGACTATGTTATAACATCTTTAAGGACAGGGGACCTTTCCTAGATGAATCCTTCTATGAATTCTCCATGTCTAAAAGAAAAATTTGCAAAAAGTGGGAGCTCAGTGTTTATTGACTAAAAAACTGAGATGTAATTTGAACTTAAGAGCACCATTAAATCGGGTAGACTAGTGTTGACCTAAAAGGAAACTAAGTTCAAATACATATAGAAAGGATTTATTGAGCCAATATGACAATTGCAACTGGGGAAACAAATAGATTCGGTCACCCTGAGAAATGTAATGTACCCCGAAGACCTTATGTGCTCCATCAGATCTTAATACTTTATAAAAACAAAAAGGGAGAAGGGTAAAGAAGAGAGAGAGAAAAACAGCCCTGCCTAATGATTTCATCAGGTTTTCGACTGGTTGTACATGAACGTGACGTACAGATTTGAGATTGCTGCTAGGTTACATCCTACTTGCAGGGATACAGGGTACGGGTGATTAAAAAGTATTCTAGGTTGTTTTATGGCTTTCTGGTGCCATTATGACTGCTTCTAAGAAAAATGGTCTTATGATAACGTTGCCCAGGACAGGTGGACATGATAACTGACTTACCCCAGGTCTCCCAAGGATTATAATTTAGCTGCACTGTTCAGAGCATATTCTTTTGGTTATCACTAGCATTTTAGTCTATACCACTGCTGGTTTAGAGATCAAATAATTACTCATACACTTATGAAAGCAGAGAACTGGCTCTGATAGGGACTGGCATGTAACAAAAATAAGTGAATCCAGCTGTGTATAACACAATGAGAAGTGGTAGGACCTGGGGCAAACTCTGCATCTCCTGCCCAGAAGCATTCAAATTTGAATTATTTTTAAAAAGTGCTGAATTATGATTCCTGTCTTAGATACTTGGCTTCAAAAACAGTGGTTAATTCAGGTATTTCAACTCGGTTGTGTGTGTATTATCTGGTCTTCATGGACATGAAGGGCTGTGCTAGACACTTAGGGAAAGGGAGGAGCCAAATGAGATAAAACTAGCAATGTTCAGCAAAGAATAAAGTGTTACGCAATCATGATCCTTTACACTGATTTTTATTATAGAAAGGAATGATTTGCTCCATTTGTTGAATTATTTCCATAGTGTCTATGCCTCAGTTATTCTACAGACCAGAGAATCCCTTGAAAGCATTGGTTCTGTCTTATTCACTTCTGTATACTAGAGCCTGGCCCATAGTAAACACCAAGTAAATGTTTTGAATAAAAGAAAGAAAGACATAATTAAAGCTTCTGTACATTACTGCGGTGCCACAAATTTCATCTATTACTTTGCAAATATATTTCAGCAGACAGTAGAAACTGCGAGAAACTAGGCAATATAGCAACCAAGAAGTAAAACTGCTAGCACCTACCATGATTTTTGATCCTCTTGCAAATTTTGCTTGGAAAGTTTTCCCAATTTTCTGCTTACAAACCTCTCCTCGAAATTTATGGATGTTTTCTTGATTTCTCTGGAAATATACAACTTCCTAATGCAATGGAATAAACTCATATGAGTACTTCTTATGTACAAATAAGCAGAAAAAGAGCTAAAAGTCTATTAGGGAGAAAGTTGAATATAAACTGTTAAATACAAAGTAGACAAGAAATACCCTGAGAAGTACAACGTTCAGCAAACATTTGCTTGCAAAGCTCAGGGGAGGATTCATGAAAGAGGTAGTGCTGAATGTGTCTTAAAGACTGAATACACTTTTACCAGGTGGGATCTTAGTGGGATTAGCAAAAGGAGTGGTCATACAGGAATTCATGGGATTTTTAGACCAAAGATCACCAG